CTTTTATTAACATCATATTGTGACATTTTCTGAATTCGTTATTAAAAACATGATTTTCAATGATGACAATGTTTTACCTTATGGATAAATATACCATAATTTAGTTACCCCGCAAGATTTAGACAGATTTTCTGTTTTTCCTCATTATAGCAAAACACAAAACAAACGTCAAACCAAAAAAACCCCTAACTCTGAGAATGAATATCTTTTTGCAAATATTTTTGACAGCATCTATTTTTTGATTAAGGAAATACATTCAGTTGTAACTTTTAGTTCATGAGAAGTGCATTCCTCTGTATGCCTAAAGCTTTCATGGCCACTGTAAAAAGATGTGTCTGTGAAAAATGTTATTTTGAAAATGGGTGAGTTGTGACTGACTGTTCTCTTTAAAAAAGATGGTTCTTTTTAAAAGAGAGATTCATCCACTCAGTATCCTTTAAATAGCAGCTGCTCAGTGGGGTTGAAATGTTTCCTTCCAAATATTTATCTGTTTAAGAGTGTTCGGGGGCAGGGCTGGAGGCCGAAGAGGATGCCAAGAGCCTCTACCAATGACAGTGAAGAGAAAGTCTCTCTGAAATGAGAATGTAAGCGGGGAGCCTAGGCTTCAATTTACAAAACTGAAGAAACGCGACACTGTAAATTTATCATAGATAATGAATGCTGCTTTGATCTTCGAGGATCTGTTTCCGAGGTTACAAGCTGGCAGCCTGTGATCTGGCCAGCACACAGGCTTTATTTGGCTACGTTAGTCTTTCTAAAAAAAAATGAACAGACATTTACTAACTGGGAGATTTCACATAAAAATCTGGTTTCTGACTTCTCTTAAAAAAAAAAACAAAACAAAGAATCTAACAGTGCTGGGACTTCATTATTTTGTGGCAGCGATTAGCCAAGGGGAGGCAGCCTGCTTAAGATGGGGGAAGGCACTCTACAGTTTATCTCTGTCCCCAACACTACATGTTGTACCCCCAATTCTCTCTTGCTTTGTTCATGTGTGTTGTCTGCCTGGCTCTTATAAGCATTTGGGTTTGCCACCCCTGATCTATTTGAAGAAGGCACAGGAAGAAATTGGTCCCTGGATTAGGAGCGAAGAACCCTGTGTCCAGTCCTAGCTCCATCACTGGGATGAGGCCTCTGGAGAAACCATTTAGCTCCTTGTGCCTCAGGATTCTCACCTGTCAAGTGGGGCTGAAAATAATTCAGGCCCTACCTGTTTCACAAAATTATGATAAGGATCAAAGAAGATAATCTATTTGAGAAAGTTCTGACATAGGTCGGGTCTCGGTTTGAAATGGAAATGCACAGCTGCTCTGCGTATCAGTTGTCAGGCTGCATGGGAACCTGTCCGCCAGGTGCTAAATTCAGTTCCTGGGGTCGCTGGGGGTGGCTGCGCACACTATGTGATGCTAATGGTTTGGAAGGCATCTGGAATCTGCTTCCCAGCTCCTGTATGTCCTGTCTCTCCGCTCCAGGTGGACAGCTGGGCCCTAGGTGTGTTGCTTTACACTCTCGTTTATGGAACAATGCCCTTCGATGGTTTCGATCACAAAAACCTCATTCGGCAGATCAGCAGCGGAGAGTACCGGGAGCCCACGCAGCCCTCAGGTGCGTGCCCGGGGCGGGTCAGAGGTTGAGTGGGAGTGTTTGGCTCACTCGCCCCAGCTCATGCTTTCTGCTTCTGTCGTAATGTCTGTAAGGAGTCTCCGGCTTTTCCTCCCTCTTCTCCCCAGGTCTTCGTCTTCTGGCAAAGCTGGCTTGTTAGGCTGCTTTACCCAAACCTCCCCAAATGGCAGTTTTCAGAACGAGCATTCTCCACTGCAGGCAAGCTAGGAGTTCTGTTTGCTCGTTGTAGGAACTTGGGCAAGTCTCTGAGCCTGTTTGGATTCAGTTTTTCCACTAAAAATTAACACTTTGGGAAAGGTAGTACATGAAGTCCCTTCCAGTCCAGGTAGGCATGTAAACCACCTCCCTAGAGTCTAAGTGCCACGAGGGTGGCACCTGCCCTTTTTCCCTACGGTGCCCCAGCCAGGAGCATGGCACACGGGGGCTGTTTCATGACTATTACTGCATAACAGTTCTATCCCATCCCCCCAGACAAACTCGGTGGTTTAAACAATTATGTAACCGTCAGCCACTATTCCCCGGGTCGACTAGAGATCTTCTAGCCTTGCTTGGGATTTCTCATGCACATGCAGCCAGATGACAGCTGGGGCTAGGGGCTGGTGGTGGGACACCTCCCTGTGAGCTCTGTCTCCATGAGCCTCTGGGGCCTATCTGTCCAAGAGGAAGCCTGGACTTCTTACGTGGCCGCTCAGGGCTCTAACAAGGAGGACAAAGAAGCTGCCAGGCCTTCTTAATGTCTGCTCTTGGACGCCAGACAATATCACTTCTTCCCTGTGCTACTGGTCACAGCATCTGAGGCCATAAGCTCCATCTCTTGATGGGAGAGCTCTGTGCATGAATGGAAAGGGTGGCCATCTTTGAAATGCAGTTAACACGAACTACTGCACATGTATACATACCATACATGTACATGCACACACGCACAGGCACGCATTGTTGAGGCTTATTATTCATGGTGGTTACATTCTGTAAAGTTGCTGTGAGCGCTGAGTTAGTGAATACTGAAGCATTGGGGAAATACAGGGCCTCTGGTCACAGTGTTCAGTCAGTATGTCACCTCTTCTTATGTATGTTTCTGTTTAAAGGTACCTCACTTAAAATATATTGTTGATTAATGATGTCGAACTCACAGCCAACCCACTGTAACTCATACCTAGTGAAGCTTATCTAACACCCCCATTTCCTCCGTAAGGCTCATCACAGCCTTTTCTGTACCTCGGAACACTAGACAGCACTTCAGCACTATGCTTGGGGGCTAAACGGTGAAATCACCAACAAAAAGTACAAAAATGTGAAAAACACAGACTGAAGAGACCGTGAAAGGGACTGGTTGGTATGAGAGCAGAGATAAGAAGGCAGAGTTCTGGCCCCTGTCAGATTTCAGCTGGAGACGCATGTGCATGTTGGGGCAACTCAGAGTGTTTGCCACTCTAAATGTACTCAAGCAACTGGGAAAGTGTCATGAGTATTGACTTTTTTGTTACAGATGTATTTTAGCGAGTAGGCAAATTTACAAGTACAGAATCTGTGAATAACGAGGATTGACTGTTATATACATTTGTGTGTGTATATATATTATACGTGTGTACGTTTGTGTACCGAGTGTCTCTATATTTTTTCAGTTAGCTACCCTTTTTTTTTTGAGAAATTTCAGGGTGACCTCTTAGGCGGTCTTCTTTGCCACACCAGCTAAATGGTGTCAACACAGTTCCCGACACAGTGCAGAGGATCAGGAAATATTTGTTGAGTGACTGAATAAACAGTTGTCCTGTACTTTTCAGGGGTGCAGCTCACCCTGGCCCCCTTGCAGCTGAGGGGAGGTGTGCCTTCCCAAGATATACTTCAACCCCCATTGAGAGAGCACAGCTTTATCTTGAAAGTCGATTTCTAGGCTGTGAGAGTCGGTTGGTTCCTTTGGCCTTCTCGACATCCCTTTGGGGGTTTCCCCCTAATTCTCTGGCAGCAGAAATTTGCAAATGGAGTTTTTCAGACAGGCTGTAAGCGGAGAGCAGACATAGATCAGCTCTCTGATCTGGCAGCTCAGCACACTGGGGCTTATGTCAGAGAGAGGAAGGAGGTGAGCTCACCAGGCGTGGGGCTCAGAACCTGGCCAAGGCCTGCCTTGGGTATGGCCCCTGTCACTGCCCAGGTGTGCCAGGTATAAGCTCCTCTCCATCCTTCTCTGTCTTTCCCTCTCTGCTGAGGAGACTTTTTCTCACCATCTCAGCCGCAAATTTCCTTTTCGTGCCTACACACTATCCCAGTAACTCTGAGCACTGTGTGTTTATACAAGCCTACCTTTGGAGGACTAAAGGAAGCCATGGCAATCCAGACCTGTTCTCCCTTTAAGTAAAATGATATGTACCAAAGGAATGGTGGGGCCCTGCTTGTGGTTGGGTCTAGATTCTTTCCCGGGCACTGGCCTTGCCCATTTTATAAAGACCAGAGTTGATGGAGAGCTCAATAAGTTTATAATAGTCCTCCACGCACGTGGAAAAACATGTGAGGATGTGATGGCCTGCGTGGTTCTGTGTCTTGATGATGCTTTTGAGGTATGTCCTGGAAGACTCTGGCTGGACCGGGGCTCCAGTCGGAGTTTTCTGAAAGTGACCATGTCTCCTTAGCCACCCCTGGAGTGTCAACCCTGTCACAAAGCCAAGCGCTCTTATATAAGGCATCTTCCTTTTGTTTCTTGTCCCATAGATGCTCGAGGACTCATTCGGTGGATGCTGATGGTGAACCCCGATCGTCGGGCCACCATCGAGGACATCGCCAACCACTGGTGGGTGAACTGGGGCTACAAGAGCAGTGTCTGTGACTGTGACGCCCTTCACAACTCCGAGTCCCCGCTCCTGGCTCGCATTATCGACTGGCACCACCGTTCCACGGGGCTGCAGGCCGAGGCCGAAGCCAAAATCAAGGGCCTGGCCAAACCCGGGGCCTCTGAGGTCATGCTGGAGCGGCAGAGGTCACTGAAGAAGTCCAAGAAAGAGAATGACTTTGCCCAGTCCGGCCAGGACTCGGTGCCCGAAAGCCCATCCAAGCTGAGTTCCAAGCGGCCCAAAGGGATCCTGAAGAAGCGAAGCAACAGTGAGCATCGCTCGCACAGCACTGGCTTCATCGAAGGTGTCGTCAGTCCTGCCTTACCCTCTGCTTTCAAGATGGACCAGGACTTGTGCCGGACTGGCATGCCCCTCCCAAGCTCCCCCGAGGCGGAGGTGCCAAGTAAACTCAGCCCCAAACACTCGGCCACCATGCCCAAGAAAGGCATCTTGAAAAAGACCCAGCAGAGAGAATCAGGTTATTACTCCTCTCCGGAGCGCAGTGAGTCTTCGGAGCTATTGGACGGTAATGATGAGACAGGGAGCAGCGTCCCATCCCCAACGCCCCCGGACCCAGCCAGGGTGACTGCCCTCAGCCTTTCCTGCCGCAGGAAGGGCATCTTGAAACACAGCAGCAAGTACTCTGCGGGCACCATGGACCCAGCCCTCGCTAGCCCCGAAATGCCCACACTGGAATCCTTGCTGGAGCCCGGCGTGCCTGCTGAGGGCCTCTCCCGGAGCTACAGCCGGCCTTCCAGCGTCATCAGCGATGACAGCGTCCTGTCCAGCGACTCCTTCGACTTGCTGGACCTGCAGGAGAATCGCCCCGCCCGCCAGCGCATCCGCAGCTGCGTCTCTGCTGAAAACTTCCTTCAGATCCAGGACTTCGAGGGGCTCCAGAACCGGCCCCGGCCCCAGTACCTGAAGCGGTACCGGAATCGGCTGGGAGACAGCAGCTTCTCCCTGCTTACAGACATGGATGACGTGACTCAGGTCTACAAGAAAGCGCTGGAGATCTGCAACAAGCTCAACTAGCTCTCTGGGGTGCAGGGCGGGTTGGGGGTGGGCATGAGGGAGGAAGGGGAGCAGTGACTTGTCCTAATGAGCTAGTTACCTCTTTGCTGGCCATGTTAATAGACTGGAAAAGGATCGGTGCCATCTCGCTTGGCCAAGTTTGCAGCCTTGAGCTAGTGTCTAAAAGGGATAAGTGGGCTGTCTGCCATTCCTGTCAACTGCCAGTCAGAATTTGGGTCCTAATGGGCGTTGGCTTTATGACACCTCCTAGAGGACCAGCTGTCTGGGGAGGTGGCATTGGCCAACACCTAGAGGGGTGGGCTAGAAGCATATGAGAGAAAGAGCATTTCCCTAGAAGTCATCCAAATGCTTCTGGAGGAAAGGCAAGAGAGACCATCTGCTCTGAGTGAGCTTAGAGCTTGCTCCTTCTCACATTAGTAAGCTTGGTCTGACTGCAGGGGGTTGGCAAGTCTGTTTCAGCAACTTGAGCTTGAATCTGTGATCGATTGATAGTGGCTGCTGAGTGTGTTGGTTTGGGTAGCCCAGGTACATGGGAAGGAGTGCTGTGATTGAATAATCATGGCTGCCATGGGGGGCAGGAAGCGGGCCGTAGCACTCCTGGCATGTAGTGCTTGACCTGGCTAAGCCCTGGGAATTAGGTTAGGGCATCCTGTGGGATCTGTTATGTCTTTCATGCCACTAGTGTGGCATTTGTTACTTTGCTACTCTACCTTGAATGGAAGACAGGGCCTTGGTCAGAGGGAGAATTCTCTGAACTCTGCTAAGGACGTAGAGTCAGCACATGGTGATGTTTTGGCTTCTTTCCTGATGTCTGTTTTGCCCTTCAGCATAATCTCCTAAGGGTGGACAGGTAAAAAGATGGTGGTGTCAGAGGTCAGAACTCTGGTGTATAACAGAGCTTGGGATCCTCTGTGGTCTTTGTGCAGGTGAATGGAAATTGACCCACACCAGCAAGGGGCAATTCGTCTGTTTCTTTAATGTCTCAATATTAACTGGAATGCCACCTCTTAGATTCATTCTCACCTGCATGAATGCTCTGAATGGGATGTGACGCTGTCCACAGTCTCCAAAAGAGTAACCGGCTCAACCATTCAGCCTGTTTACTAATAGGAGACGGTTCCCCATCCGCCAAGTGTGGAATCCTTAGAAGCAGAGAGTTTGCTTCAAGGGAGTTAATGTGTAGGTAGAATATTTGGACAAGGAAAGGAAAGTCAGCAGAAGGTGCATTCTCCCAAAGCTAGGTATCCCATGTCACGAGTTTGAACTCCTAGGCTTCGTGGATAAAGAAAGCTCCATCCATTCAAATGAATAAGGTGTTGGAAGAGCAGAGTGAGTTGGGAGGAAGTATGCAGGACAGGGGACATTTCCCTAGAAGTCATCCAAATGCTTCTGGAGGGATCAGAGAAGACGTATGAAAAGACTCTTACCTTAGAAAGTAACGTAACTGGGTATTAAAGTTTTAGACACCCAGATTACAGGTGACAAGATGTCACTCCCACAATGGGACGTCTTCATATACTGAATTTGGAATTAATGGTCTTGGGAATTTGAGATGATTTCAGATTCTGCTGGCCTGGGCAAACTGAAACCCTTGTTTCAAGATGGTTGACTTCTTGGTAGACACCTGGATATATAAGGAGGGCTAGTCTTGGGGGGTATTTTTGGGAAAACCAACCGATAATAATTCATAGGGAGATGAGAAGAAATCACCTTCAGGCACTAAGAACATTAATTAGAATGAAACTGCCCTTTCTCCAAGGAGGTGGCTCCATTTCTCCCCTTGCCACCAGCTCTGGGGTTTTAGTTTGTGCGTTCCTTCAGGTTGAGCTCAGTAATTATTGTGGGGAACTTCTCCGTTTCCTTTCACTCAGTCCCACCTCCTTTCTGAGCTCCAATATAGGTTCAAAGGGAAAAAATCTGTAGGTAGCAAATCGTGGAGGGTGTGTGGCTACACAGAGGATGTTCTGCAACCTCTGAGCTCCCTACTCCTGGTCTCATTTAATGCAGCCTTTTCTGAGCACTTGTACTGCCGCACTGCTGGTCTCTCTTGTATGGCAGCTGGCCTAGTTGGTAGCTGTCCGTATTTATGACTTAGATGTAACACCTACCTGCTGGTTGATGTGTTTTTTCCTTTTGCCAAGTGATCGCCTCTGTTTGGCATTTTCCAGCCTTCTAATTTTTAGATTAAAGTGACACTATAAGGAAAATCATTCTATACCCTCCCCGCCCTGCCTCCCAAACCCCAAAATCTCTCTCTCACACACACATACACATACACACACACGTTCACTTTCATCAATAAACCCAGACAGTGGATTGTGGCAGACACGGTCCTCCACTCAGAGGCAGAGACAATGAGGCAAGTCCTAGTGTGTTGCTAACTAGGTTGCTAACTGGTCGTAAGCACCTGTGGTGTTATGGGGGCTGTTTTCCTCAGAGTGAGAGCCGGAGGGGTGGATCAGCTGGTCTCTCAGGCCCTGCCAGTTCTGACATTCTGCTAAATCCTCCAATTCTAGATCTGATGTTGACTCTGTCTTCTGAAGGAAAAACTTAGACTAGAGGGAAATACCCTGAAAAGCAGCTCCCCTGCTTCCTGAGTAAGTCCTGTCATCCCTACCAGCCAATCCCCAGCCGAGGAAGTCATGCTTGATTCATTTCCATGGAATTACGAGTGAGAGACACTTTTATGACATGATGGACCAAGCAGGAGATTCGATGTCAGCTCTCCTGGTCCTTTCCTTGCCTCTGTGGGCCTTTCAGTGTCTTAGTTTACACATCTGCCAAAGGAGTAGAATTATACTTCTTTTTACAGGTAAATTTCAAGGCATGATCAGTTTTCAGGAAGTGCTTCAAGACCCCAGGTGAAATGAAAATGCTAAGTACTCTCTGAATTTCCATCCCTGTTACAAGGTGCTGCTTCTTTAGATGACAAGGAGCACTTTTCAGGGTAAAATTCAGGTGAGCGTTGCCCAGACCTGCTGTCTTGAGTACAAATGTGAATGATCAACTGACTGCTTATTGCCAAACTGGAAATGTTCTGTAGGGATTAACTGGCATGGTATCATTCCTAGAAGAAAAAAAAAAAAAAAGAGAGAAACTTGACTGCACATTTTTTTTAATAATCCATGTTGTGACTTTTATTTAATTTCTATTTTTTTTTTTGGTAATAAAAAGTCGACTTTTTTATTTGAATTTGTCTTTTTTTATTTATTGGTCTGAAAGGCATTTCAAAGGTATTATAATAATATATTGGTGTAATTTAATTGGTGCAACATGCTCTATGGCTCCAGTCAAAATTGATCTTCACTCATTTGATTGGTTTGAGCCCAGAACAGCCTACAGGGAAAAAAAAAAAAAAAGCTGGATAACCACCCAAAGTGTTTGTATTTTCATTGGAAATGGATTTTTTTTTTTTTTGGTTTTTTGTTTTTTGTTTTTTTTTGGTTTCTGTTTTTATTTTTAAATTAAATAAATTGCAATGAACTGAACTGAACTGGGACCTCGCTTCTTTATTTGGTTGTTTTTCTCTTAGTTAAGTAAGTGACAACATGGATTTAAGTAACAGAAACCCACCCGGGCTAGCTTAAGCACAAAGAATTTATTCAAAGTTCTCAAAAGGAAATGCATCTAGCAGTGCAGCTCAAGCCAAGAACTGGAGAAGTGGAATCCAAGAGAACTCCAGGCCCTCTCTTCTGCTCCCCCTTTGCAGCCCGGCTTTCTCCTCCCTGATTTTCTGACCCCCCCTTGTCTGATCCCATAACTTTCAAATTTACATGTTCTCAGTTCCGGTTTTCAAAAGAGCCTACTGACCTGATTCCTTCAGCCCGAACTAGAGACAGTATCAGAGGTGAATACTCAGCCCACACCTCAGCTTCCTCTACCTGCCCCACTCCTCGACTCTCCTGTCTTTTCCAAGGGCAGATAAATCGCTAATCAGATTGCGCAGACTCCAACATCGATAGGCCATGTTTCCTATTGGGGAAGGCCACTGCTCTGCCTATAATGAAATGGCGTCCTGAGTCCTATTTTGCCATTGTTCCTTGTGCCAACAGACTCCAGGAAGCTCCTATAAAGGAGGATGAATAATAGGGTAGGATCAAAGAGTCCCTGAGTCTCAGTCACAGTGTGATATGACCTCAAACCCTACCCTCGTATCAAACCTTACAGGGTCACGCTCTTACTGAAGAGCACTGTTAGGGGACCTGTGCAAGAAAAGTGACTTTCCAAGGAAATTGCAACTTTCAACCCTTATCTGGTCTACGTGGAGAACATCTGTTGCAGCATTGTCATATTTAGCAAATAAAACTACAGGACACTCAGTTAAACAATTTTTTTTTTTTTTTTGTATAAGTCATGCGAAATTTGGGTCGGGCTTATACTAAAAAAAAGAAAAGTTATCTGAAATTCAGATTTAACTGGGCATCCTCTCTTTTATCTGGCAAGCTAATCTGATGGGACTTAATTGGCTAAATTGACTGGGACTGGCTATGGTAGAGGGTTGGGGAATGGATGCTTATAATTGTGGCCTGGCAAATTAGGACATGATCATGCCTCTCAAGCTGGTCTGAGGTAGGAAGAATTCCAATTCCAGTTTGGACTTGATGATTGCTATTGAGTCAAATCGCTTCATGTCTTTGGGCCTCAGTTTTCTCATGTGTCTGATGGGTATATTCATTGCTGCCTTACTCAACTGTTAATAGGGCTATGAAAGAGTGAGAAAATTTCTTTGAAGTTCCCTTGAGTATAAAACTCAATGAACGAGAAACCATAGTCCTTACTTTACAGGGCAATATTCACTGACTTTTAAAACAGAACATCTTAAAGGCAATCTGCCTGGCTTGGAGGCTTTTAATTCTTGCTGTGGTCCCTGCCACTGTTAGCAAGTGGGCCTGTCAGTCATTTTCAGGGTAAGAGACTAAGGGGAAACTTACTTAAAAGTGAGCCCCTTTGGAAAGACAAAGTTCTGCAGTCAGATATAGGGAATAGCACCATATGCATGGCCTAGGGGCTGTACAAAATGACATGTAAGCTGTAGCGAGAAACCTTTTGGGGGGTGACATTAAGCTAGCTGTTTGAGGCCACAGACTTTTCACTCTAGAACTGTGGCCCAATTTGTTTGTAACCTCTCAGAGAAAGCCCCAGTGCTGCGACTTACATGAAGCCTCGATTAGCCACATTTTGGCACTATGCCAATGTTGAGCTGGTTCCTCCAACCCCTGCTGAGATCCCTACAGCTATTCAGAGCTTGAAAAGAAAGTCAATAGAACTCACACAGGTAGCTCCAAACAGCACAGTTAAGGAAGCTCTGCTGAGTGTTTTGATGGCCACTAGGGTGTGGATGTGGCTTTATGTTGGCAAGATCATAGGTAAACGTGGCATCACTGCTATAATGTTTGAAGACCAATCTTCAAACATTATACATCTGGTTTTTTTTTGATTTATTATTTGAATGTTCTTGGGCCATGTGCGATCAGACTGGTATTTGAATAAAGAATGTCAAAAGTAATGTTTTCTATATCAAACACTAAATGGAAAGTCACAACATCTCCTGATATTAAGTTGGATTGTCTTTTGCTTTAATGACGTTAATATAGTTCTAAATGCATGTCTTTGCTTAGCCTGAAATTGGAAAGGTTATATGTGAACATCCCAACCTGGTACATATATTTCGAAGGTTGGAAATATGATATTTACTTCTGGAAAAATTGGGGGAAAGGCTTTGAGAAAAATAGAACTTGCTAAAGTAAGAGAAATAGTAATACTGTGTGCCAAAGTTAAGTCGTGTCAGTAGTATAAAGAATAAAATTTGGATGGTTTCTCTTTGCTAAAATCAGAGAAAGACCTTTTCGACAACACCTATGTCTGTAAATGTTGGGATACTTGGTGGTGTTCTAAGTACGTATCCTTGTGAAATCTTTAATGCCAGGATAGAGTGAATAAGAGCTGTGACCTACATTTTAAATCTAATTTTGGTATATGTATTATCAGTCTATTTGGTTTTATGATTTTCAGAACTTATCTTTGCAAAAATAAAATAACCTATGGATATTTAAGCAGGATTATGATTCAGTATCATCCATGGGTTTAAAAAGTATATCGTAAAAAGTAAATAAACAAAAGTGGTTGGTTATGCAAAAAAATAGGAGGGGTAGTAAGGAAAATAGAGATCGTTGGAGCAGCAGAGTTGACATGTTGTCAACTGATTGGTCGGTGAGGTTATGAGGCATGGTCAAGTTTAAGGAGGAACATTGAGAGAACTTAAAATTTATTGAGCTTCTACATGGTGTTCACTTCATCCTTATTCAGTAGCAAGTGACAGGAACACAACTCAGAACATGTCGAGTAACAAGATGAATTTACTGCTTCAAGTAACTGAAAAGTCCAAGGCGTATGTCCCAGGCATGCTGGATCCAGGGATTCAAGTAATGCTGTTGGCCTGTTTTTCATTCACTCTCGTTGAATGTAGATTTCATTCTTACACAGGATCTTTCTGCATGGGAGCAAGATAGCTCTTGGGAAGTGTTATGAGGTCTTTTAGTGTATGATCTTAGAGTCAGAGAGAGATTCTTACTATCCTAACATTTATGTGCCAAGGAGGCATTGTGATTGGCTTTGCTGGGATCACGTGTCTCCCTCTGGCCCAGTCACAGAGTCTGGGTAGAGAGATGCCCTGATTGGCAAGGCTGGATCATGTGCCCACCCTTGTGGTATACTTGAATGACAGTTCCTTCAGAATCACACAGAGTAGGGGAGAGCAGCTCCCCCAAAAGAAGGGATGCAGAGTCAACAAAAAAAGTTCTACCTTTTGGGCCTTGATTTCCTCATCTATAAAATAGCATTAAATCATTTCTAATTTTCAGAGTTATTATGAAAATTAAATGAAATAAAGTACTTAATACAGGGCCCGACACATAGAAGATTTTTAATTTAGAGTTAGTATCAGGAAGACAAAAATATAATGCTGTAGAGAGGAGATATATTTGTTAGGAAGATTTCAGCTGTAAAATCAGCTACAATGTGAGAAAAATCCAGCTGAAACTGATTTTAACACTACAGGGGATGTATTGGCTCATATATCTGGAATTCTAAAGATGGGGTGGATTTCATGGTTACTTAGGTCTAGTGAGAGAAATGGATAATAAACAAGTAAACAAACACTCCCCCTCCATTGCAGATTATAATAAGTGCTATGAAGGAAATGGATAGGATGGAGAAATAGAGAATTAAGTGAGGGAGGTACCTCTTATAGAAAGAGTAGTCAGGGAAGGCATCTCTGAAGAGCTGGCCTTTGGGCAGAGGTCCAAAGGTGAAGAAATAACCATATGCAGAGTGAGCATTCCAGGCAGTAGTAACAGTATATGCAAGGGCCCTTGAGTCTCCAAAATAGAACTTTACAGGGTTAAATTCTGGTCCATTGGCATAGGACAGCCGTGGTGCATGGAGTGTATGGTGTTTTGCTAAACATATGTGGCCATGTTCTAATGCAGGCTGGCTGTGATCATTTATGAGTTTGTGTAGCCGTAACTACAAATGGCTGCTTCCTTTGACAGGTGGTCCCCAGACGAGATACATGCCATGACGTGCATTTTAAATGAGAATATGTTTCCACTGAAGAAATTCACTGCCAATTTATTGAAATTCATGGAGAGGATGTTTTTAATCCACAGAATCAATCATGCAAAGTTTGGGACATGGAAGTGATGCTCTATAAAGACCAGGAAATGCACACTAAGGTTTTCATGTCGCAAAAACTGCTCCATGCTATCACAACTGTATGGTTTCAGCAGGGAATTGTGTGAGAAACCAGCAATCAATTTTGTTTTTAGAGTGTGACAATTATTTTCCTACTGATGAAAAATTTATGCTGCCTATTTCTACCTGAGTGGGAATATCTGTTGTTTCTGGACCAGCTGGTTCCCCCATCTACTACCTGTGCTAGTTTTTGTGAATTAGTTTGGATAGGCTATGTTATGGTAAAGTGACAAATAAGCTCTGAAATGTCAGTGGCTCAGTATGATAAACAATCATTTCTTACTCTCGCCGAGTTCAATACAGTTTGGGCAAGTTTCCTTTTTATGCTGTCTCTCTGCAGACACTTGGGGATCTGAGCTTCTTCCACCCTGTGGTTCTGCCATCAAAGGGTTTGTCATTTGCAGTTGTGCAAATGAAGGAGAGAGAAAGCACAAGTCAAGATCTTTTAAGAACCGGATCTGGATGTGATGTACATCATTGGTGCTCATATCTCATTGGCCAGAACCCAGTCACCTGACCCCAACCTAACTTCCTGGATCGTCTTCAAGTTCATAGTACTTAAAAAGCAGACTATAAAATGAAATCGGGTGGACACATAACAGTGTCT